GATTTTAGCCTCAATTGCTGGTAATGGCCCTAGACACATAATACAGTGGCACAGAGTTACTTTTGAAGGCCATTAATTTAGTAGGAGCCCTGTGCCTCGATGCTCTTGACGCATTAGCTTTCAATAATGAGAGGACGTGTTAAGTTATTCATCAGTGGTGCTCCACCAGGGCTGGCCCTTGAGAGCCTAAACAAAGCATGAACCACTTAATTTGCCCTGACCAGTGCCAAGAGGGCCCATTTAATTCAAGTCAATCAATGCAGTGGCATCCTGAAGCAGCGGAGCTTTTACGTGTCACTGCAGTCTGTTGTGCTTGAATACATATTTATAAAGTGGATGGTGAAGTGTTCTCAGGGTTTATGTGCCATTATCATATTCATGTTGGAGGAGGTAGCAGAGTCCTCGCAGCCCTATCTGTTTAAAAGTCAATGATAAGAGATGACTGAGTCGCCACCCTAATGTTGGCTCACTTGAGGTGAAGTCTTAATCTATAAACGCGCAAAGTAAGCCTTGCTTGTCATACATTCGAGTTTTTGTCATGCACTTGTTTAAAAGAGTCTGGTGCTATTCCATATTTGTCTTAGCCTGATATATGTTATACCTCTGTGCCATAGAGCACCATTGTTCAGTATATACAACAATTAAAATACATCAGATATCCACATTGTTGTACAGGGTGCTTTAATTACAATGAACATGGGCAGTTTAATGTCGTATTATAAATACTCTACTAAATGTGTGACAATCACCAATTCCAAATAGTTCTCAAAATGCTCTATTAAATTATGTTTGCATAACATTTGCAAAAAACTACAGTTCCCAGCTGTTTCAGGAAAGTTGTTATAGGGAATCTTTGAATATAATGTCTTTATTATCATTGTACATTACACAACAACATTTGCTAATTTAACATTCTTTAGAAACTAGCTGCTGGCTGGCTTATCCTAGCTTGTTCATTAATGTTATCGCTGGCAAAACAGAGACAGAATGAGTGAATAGACTACTGTGATCCATGAAACGACAAAAGTGTTGATTTTTGGCCAGAAATAAAGAGATACAAGGCAGGGCATCCAGCTATGGAGCCTAACCTAAGCTAGGGTTGGCCTGTGGCTTACTGCGCAGTATGGGTCTTGCATTAATTGCTTTGTGGTGTTGGCTAATGGGATATTTAAATAGCAAGCTAGTTAGTACCATTAAATAAAATCAAATAAAACCAAGTAAAATATAGGAACATTGCAGATAGTAATGTTTGTCTATACTTGATTGTAATTTATGTTCCTGCATGCCCGGGTGAAAGCCAAAAGTGACATATCACTTTTGGCTTTCACCGGGATGAGCAATAGAAGACTGCAGATCTCTTAACGGCCCCTGACATCACTGTTAATGGCAGTTTTCTGAAAGTTACATATAGAACTTTTAACCTTTTATGTCTTCAATAGGAACCAATGTGTTTAGAGCTATGAGCAACAGTTAATGGAGGTCGGAAAATATTAAAAGAGAAAGTCATTGTTGGTCTTTTTATGGCATTTGTTCACAATAATAATTTTGACAGCCTCTTGCATTAATAGTGCCTGACAGAGACTGAAACATAAAGAGCAGGGCATGCTACTCTTGCAATAGGATATTTGTAATTGTGTGGTTTTAATGTCCTTAGCGTCTTCTCTTCCTATAGAAGCTCAGTGACTGGACTGCTAATGGACCTTGACGAACAGGAAGTGGAAAGCACAATATAACAAGCCACTGGAGACATTGTGCTTTACTCCAGAGAGCCATTAGCCAAAGTTTCCATTTATTTATCCATACACCAAAAAAGAGTGCAATAGCTTCTTGCTAATTGCCGACAGAAAACTGTTGAGGTTGCTGGGGAGCTGCACCCTGGCAGCACACTCCTCTCTCGCTGTCCCTGATGGTTATGTTCCACTCTGTAATTTTCTGTGATGCATACAGGGAGGAAGGAGATACCTGCTGTACTGACAGCTGGTCCCTTGCAGACTGAAGAAGTTTGCACGTTGACGTAAGAGCCTGAGAACCAGAGTTGCACTGGAGATTGAGCATGTGCAAGGCAACTGCAGCGTCACGCCATGACGTGAGGAGGAGATCAGCTCATGACAGGCAGGAGGGGCAGAACAGACCGCGACTGAGTGACAGGGACTCCAGAAGAGGGCTATGGTTATGAAGGGTGAAATTGAGGGCCCTTATTATGGCCTCACTGTTGGAAAGGCAGACATTTACTGGCCCTGGCTGGCTCTCTGCGCTTTAGATGCCTCTGAAAGATATGAGCACACCATTTTGTGGAGCGTAACTGACACCCATGGAGTGCCCTAAGTAAGCCCCAGGGAAGGGTAAGGTTAAGCTGGAAAACAAAACACTAAAGCAGGTCATGTAATAGGCCTCTCATTTTGCGCCTGTCTTTGTCAGGCCCACTGGAGGAAACCTAATTTATTTAATAGCCTGCCGCTTCAATGCCAGGCGTTTGGTGCGAGAAAACAGACGGCAGCGACGACGAAAGCATAGCGGGAGAGAGAGAGGACAAACACTTTCCTCACATTCACTGGCGAGATGTGATTTCCAAAATGAAGATCTGTGTCAGCCATCTGGTGATAGAGAATAGCAGGAAACTATGTCAGCATGCTATTTTCAATAATGCAAGCATGCATGCTGTCACTACATCACCGACAATTCAAGTAGAGATTCCTGTCAAATGTCAACTTTTTGTGTGTATTCTTCTTCTATTCAATTGCTATAAATCTATTTCTCCTCTCCTCTTTTCTGAAAAATGCTGCAAAGCCAAGATTGAACTGCTTTAACACAATGTCAGAACAAAACAGAGCTTCACATTTGAAGGCTGGTGTGATGAGTATTCAGTGTTCAATCCCTGTGAACTGTGGCACCAGTATGGAGGTTTATGGATTACAAAAGCATTGTTTGGCACATTAGGTTTCAGACTCATCTGCAGCGTGGGTCTATGGTGTCTGTCGGTCCACCACTTAGGTCCACCAGACTGAAATATCTCAGAAACTATATTAGATGGATTAAATAAATAATGCCATATATCCTCATGGTTCCCAAAGTACCAACCCTTCTAAGTTTTACATTAGTTGTTTTGAGCAAAATGGCTCAACAAATATTATATGAAGACATAAAACAGATAAATATTTGTGTGCTCCTTCAGTGCCCTGTCCACCACCCTGGTCTCAGTCCATGTTGATCCAGACTGCCCCTGTTGACAAGGATAAAAGAATCTCTCCATATTTAATTCTTTAGTATATGAAACTACACAACCTTACAATTGAGTCGCGTTTGCATTTAGCCACCTTGCTATTCTCTTATGGGCTTGGAGTCATATTCAGCTAATCAAGTTTGCCAGCAGGGATACATCAAACCTAAAAGTAAAAGCTTGAATCAGAATGTGCATTAGCTTTCAGTGAAATGATAGAGTATTTCCCATTCAACAAAACATATGCTGGTGATTGCATGCCATTTCCTTCAAGGCCTGTGCAGTTGTGGGAGGTGAAAAATGATGCATAAACACTAAAAGAGTCACAGCACCATCCAGGAAAGCCTGATTTTTGCACCTTTGGAACAGATTTTTTGGGTCTATGTTGCACCATCAAACAATGATAATGACCTAATTATTTAATTTACATTCACTTTTAAAATGGTCTCTGAAGTGTCAAAAAATAATGCATCAATAGGAAACCTTAGTCCCGGACACCGGCAAAAGGCATGTCATCTTTTCAATGCAAATCAACTCCTTTAATAACAGCAGTGCTGGTGAAACCATAGAGCGTCTGGAGGATTCATATACCTCCATCTACACCACTCCTCTCCCCTCCATCCTTTACTATTATAAAATGCAAATGTTATGTCACCCACTTCACTCAGAGATAAATCTGTTATTCCGTGCATTACTGCAGAGAGCCTCACCACCACATTGTTCTCATTGCAGCACCAGTCACGTAGTGTTAATTTACACTCCAGCCTTTACCACTGATACTGCATTTTATTTTTTTCATTTTTTATTTTTTCCATAACTGGGAAATTAATTGAGTTTAAGATGCTACGACATGTGAAAATGACAATGATGCATATATTGGATAATGGCTTCCCTGAAAACAAGATTAGACCTAAATAATGGAACTGGGATCTGGGTTGTGATGTACTATATTATGAGGTATTGTTGAAGGAGAAACTCTTTTTGGAAGTGATCATTATTTTTTGATCCAGTTCAGTCTGTGAGGGACCTTGGGAAGACAGTACAGTAACAAGTAATAGGAAAAATAATTTACTGCCATCTACTTCAGCACACAAGCTGTCAGTATACCGAGGAAAGCCACGTCAAGCCTCAGCAGACAGTAGTATCAAAGCAAAGCAACTAGTAAAAGTATGGATTTCAACCAATGCGCTCAGTAAAGATTGCCTGGTGATAGGATCGGCAGGCAATTATTGAGAAGATGAGTGTAGTCAATAACTGGTTAAAATAGCTAACAGCTAGCACACCGTTTAAATAATACATTAAAGGATCATTCTGTTTTAATGCAACTTGGATTGTATTTTTTAGAGTTTGGGCCAATTGTTTCTATTGGTAATTAATTATTAAGTTAATTGCTGAGCCTGTGCAATAATGAAAAAAACATTTAAGGTGCACTCACTTTCACTTTTACCTCCAAATAAAGTGGCTTAGATCATCTGTTGGCCTGTTTAAGACTTGTCTGATTGCCTGACTGTTTGCTGCAATCACACATCTCAGCAATTATCTTAGCAGGTAATATGTTACCCTAGCCAATGAAAGAGAGGCAAAGGTGCAAAAATATGAACCCAGGTTTATAAATTGGATTTTGTCTTTAAATGTTTATATCTGTCTATAAGACACTGTAGGCTCTATGCTGTTTTGGTCCAAATTACTATAGCCTGCACAAATGCCAATAAGATAAAGGAATGCAAATTCAATTTTAACTTATTCAATTTATTTAAAAAACAATATGTTTTGTGTTGGAAAAAAAGATGACATATTTTAGGGATACAGCAAATGTAAAAGGTAGATGTATCATAATATTTTTTTTAATTGTGCTGTACACAATTAGCTCAAGATCACATAACATAAGCTTTACAAAAGTGTAATACATTATACTGGTGAGGACCACCTGTAAATTCTGTACTGTACAATAGTGTTCATTAACAACCTATTTGTTATATCAAATACCATCAAACATATTCAAACTGTGGTAATTCTTCTGACGTTCTTGGAGCTTTCCTCTGATAGACACACCCGGGCTTGGCTCTCATTGTGTAGAGACAGGCTGCTAGAGGACACGACATCAGGGACCTGGAGCACACCATCAGATTTAGGTTTCAGTGACAATCTGCAGCATTGTAGATGGACAACATTCACAAGAAACAGCTACAATCTGAGATTCCTGTCCTGAAACATTTCCTGGAAACAACATGTCCAGTGTACAATCACCCGAAGCCTTATCAAAGAACGACCGGATGACAGCTATTGCCTTAAAGGCCCCAAAGTGACTGCCCTCCACCTTTAGTATGCATCCTGATAAAAAAATAATCCTATTAACAAACTCAAAGTACCTCAAGTGTAAGCTGGTCAACATCAGATTTAATTGGGAAATAAGGCTAAATAAACCACTCCATAAGAGTGCAGTTGTCCCCCCCTCTATTCATTATTAGACACCAGGATATTGCACAAGATGTCAAAACAGTGTGTTATCCAGAATCAATATAACAATCAATTAGTTGATGCAGGCCGGGCTGAGAAAACCTCCTGAGTCACACCTGCCACATGGACACTGACTAGAGGGCAATGACAATGTTTACAACAGGGTCTCAAACTCAAATTGGCTTGGGGCCACTGCTGGTATTGTCATCTCATAGAAGGGCCACTGCAACATTCAAGTGCTACAAGAAAGAACAATATTCTGACAATATTCCCATTACTAACATCATACTTAACAAAAAATGCAAACATCATCTTTGTTGTTAGCAGCCAAACAACGAATGAAGGCCCAAAACCTGCTCTCTTCTTATCTCTTATTATCAACAGTTTGCACTTGCAGGAATCTTTGACCTTTGCCATTATTTTGCACCAAACAAAATACACTTAAAAATGTTTGGTTTTTGTACTTTTTTTTACCTTCCAGCTTGCTCCCCATAGGGGCCCATACAGCGTATGATCTATAGATCTAATTATCTGCATATTTGATTTGGCATAGGCTTTTTACGCTGGATGCCCTTCCTGATGCAACCCTCCCCTTTTAGCCAGGCTTGGGACCGGCAATCAGGAAAGCACTGGCTTGTGCATCCCCAATGGCTGGGAGTCTTGCCCAAGGACATTTCAACATCAAAACAACACCAAAAAAACTTGACAAAATAACAACATCTAAAAATTATACTTAGGATGGTTTGCAGTTTGGGATCCCTGATTTATTTTCTGTTTAAATGTATATCCTTCTCAGTTTGCGTCTCAGCCAGGTCTCAGTTTAGTCCACACCTGTGTGTACACCTGCAGATGATACACAACAGTGATGATGATGGAGCCACTTAGAAGTGCCCTGTAAGCTAAAGATAGTACTAATGGTAGTTTGTGGAGCTATAACAGGCTCTACAATTGTGCATTTACCCAATATCACCAAAAAAGCTTTATGCTGTAATGGATGCATTAAGCTGTCTGATGGGAGGCCAGCAGAGGCACAACAGTATAGCAGTTCCCTCTTGTTCTCATCAACATGGGAGTAGGTGGCAGAAACTCCAGCTGCAGAATGAATGGCTGCATTATTCAGCTCCAGTTTATCTATTTCTCTCTCTCTCTTTCTCACTCTGTCTCCCAGCCCTCCCTTCTTCTCTTCTCTTACCTTGTAAAAGCTGACAGAGTCCATCTGGCTACCAGTTTCCATGATTACGTTATTGTAAACTGCATCTGCAGGGTGAAAAACAGCAATTTAGCCTGATCTAACCTTGCAGCCCCTTTGACCAGCTACAGACCAATTTGGACTTAAAGCAGACCTCAGCAAAATAAGAATTAGGTGATGATTTAGTGGCTTGGGGGTCTAAGATGTGTACACAGCATCCTGAGTTTAAATTCATCTTTTATTTCTGTCAAAAAACAGAATAAAACAAACAAAAAAAGACAGCATATTATGTGGTTTGTGGCTGCTCAACTGCCTATGATGTTGCTATTTAATTGAAAAGGTGAAGCCATTTGCAAGCACCTCACTCTGCTAAAGATTTTACATGCTCTGTATTATTTTACTATTTACTGTGGCAATATACTGTAAGTTATAAAGCAACACGTTAAAGGAGTATACCAGTGTTTAATTTCATTTACTACAAATCATGTATACTTTACATTACAGGTAACCATTCTGCAAACCATGTTGCTACAGGCTTTACGATTTCTAATAGATTTTTGTCTACTATTCCAGACCTTAATTGGCTTCCTTTCATTTCAATACGAGTAGTGATTGGCAAACTCTTTAATCTTGTTTAAGTTGTGTAACCCATCACAGTGAACATCAAGCCTTTGCTTATTTTTATCAGAGTAACATTGTTGTTGTGGAGAATCAGTCCGCAATAAAGGTTCATTACCAAGCAATCATGAGTCAACTGATTGATTTTCATCAATCAAACCAATATATTCTTGAGACTGCAGGAAAAACACATGCAAACATGTGTAACATGCTTTGAAAAGTGAGTAGTAAGAAAGTGAGTATATATAATTAGTAGTTAAGGAGCAGTAACACATGCAAACATACTGGAAAGGTTCTTTAATGTGGCTGAAGCTATATTAAGTAATCTGTTACTTGACTATCAGGAACCAATCACAAGTTACAACATTTCAAAAGGAAAAAAACTTATTTACTCCACAACAGAAATACTGTGGTCACTTGGTGTAAAAATATGACTTACCTGTGCAGCAGTAATAATATAACTTATTCTAACTTCAGTTTGTGGGATCAAACAAAAATATTTATCTGTACCCTCAGTGTTTCTACTGTCAGTAGGGTTATTGTGATGAAACAGCTGTGGTTGAGGTTTGCAATTATCATGGTGAACTATATGTCACTCTCTCACCTGTGGGGCCCTCACTAGAGTATCCCAGGTTGACCTTCCCCCCAGCCTCCCCAGCAACCGAGCCTCTCCCGCTCACTGATTGGCCAAACCTGCAAATGCCCAGATGAATGGTCCAATGGAAAAGATAACCTTTAGCTGAGATATGGCGGAGCCACTTTGTCAGAGGCTATGCTGTTGTGAACAGACAATTTTCTTTTCTCACAGAGCTGCAGTATATCACAGGCCTCTGCATTGTTTTCATCATAAAGTGCTTTGACAGATAAAAAATGATCATCATCATAATTTTTCACTGCATTTTATTAGACCCAACTTTTATTAGACCCAACTCCCACTTCAATGTGCTCAATGGAAAAGCTATAAAATATATTTCGGCTGCATGGAAAATGCTGACAAATATAACTCGAAATATATCTGCTTCTTAAATAAGCTAATGACAATCCAAATCTTAATTAAGTTGTTACAAAAATGCAATGACTATTTAATGCATGCAATTTCAAATTCATGTCTTCAATTTTTTTTAAAATGTAGAACAATAAAAGCCCATTCATTCATTCACAGAAATAAGTTGCACGTATTAACTGAGATTTGTGCTGAGTCTTCACATTAGCTTATGTAAAGAATAAATGGAGCTCCATAAAGCCAGGACTGTACGTTTCTGCTTCTTTCACAGATTATTTGCAGCTAATTTCTCCTCAAGTCAGTCCCTTTCATTCAAGACTCCACAGTTGATCATCAAGTTCTTCAAGTTTAAAAACTGAAGAAAACCCAAGGATTTTATTGTTTGAAATAGCCCTATAAAGCAAAAGCAGTCTAGAAAAAGAGCTCCTAAATCTTACCTCCTTGCCTCCTGTGGGCTCGTTTCTGAAAGGTAAAAAAAAATGAGGCATTAAGTTTAGAGAGCTATTATGAACTATCAGCCACTAACTTTATTATTCTCACTGCATTGACCACAGAACCATTGTGATCACTCACTGCATCTACAGCAATATGAAAGCTGTAAAAATAAAATGTCCTGATGTTTATTAGTTTTGGGTTCTGCACTAATATCATAGCCTCCAGTCAGTTTGCAATGCAACAGTGAAAGCTGGAGCTGAGTGTTAATGAGTTTTGTAACATGGCTTCATGGTTGTCTTTGCCAAAGGTCCTCCTGGCCAAGGCAAAAACACAACAATATAACAATGGTACAGATGGCACTTGCCTCAGGAGAGATATAAACTGTTCCTTTTACAGGGAGAGAAATTGCCTTTGTCATTATATTTTAAATCCCCGCTGTCATGCTGGCCAAAGTCTTTGAGGGTGACTATATTGGATCCCTTGTTTTTTTCCCCAATAATTACGAAGCATACATTACTCCCCATTGAGGTGGATTACTCAAAGAAGAGCTTAGTGACTTGGAAGCGTGCCACTTCCTCTAACATGTGAAACATCCTCATGAAGTTACTTCAATTTGCTCAGGGATGTTCCATTAAAGCCGTTAGACTTAATCAAGGACAATGGTGAAGGAGGTATCAGACGTTTCAGGTACAAAATCAGCAGCCGGAGGAGAGAGGTCACACCTGCTTTATGATAATCCCTTAGCTCTAAACCATAGCCATGATTTGCAATGGCCCAGAATCAGTCACAGGGATTAGACTGACTTCTAAATGTGTGACTCAGGGCTACTTTTTGTTATCACACGCAAACAGGCCTCTTCCGCCTCCTTGTGCAATAGAATAACATGTCCCATCGGAGATGGCACTCCAGAAACATCTCGGCAACATCCCTCTTTCCTGGTTGGAATTTTAAAACACCACACCATTTTACTTCCACAACTTCCCAAGGAATCGACCTCTCAGTTTGGAGAGGTGTCAAGTAGTCCAGCCACATCACAAATATTCTGGATCGGATTACGAGGTCTAGAAGAGTTGCAGTAAAACTGTCTCACTGTTGGGTGGCTTTAAACCCTTATTAATGGGCTTTGTAGAATTTCCTGAGCCAGGAAAGTTGGTACGGCCTTAGTCACCTTTAGGCTTTAAGAAAAAATTTAACATGTCTCTCTTAAAGGAATAGTTCAGCAGGTCGCCAGGCTGTATCCAAAGGTAATACAAACTGTCTACCAACAGCTCTAAACTCTATGATTAACATATACATCTTGATGTGATGTCATCATGGTGGAGGGGATCTCTGGAACATCTGAAGCTGGTAAACGTCTTCCTGGATCCACAATTTTCACATATTTTATAATATTTGTATATCAGAAACTGTGTCATCAAAATTTGTATGTAATAGGATTTTTTGGTGTGTTCTGTACACTTGATGCCTACTGCATGTCTGTCCGTCCTGGGAGAGGGATCCCTCCTCTATAGCTCTTCTTGAGGTTTCTTCCAGTTTTTTCCCTGTTAAAGGGAGTTTTTTCTTACCCAAATCAAGGGTCTAAGAATAGAGGGTGTTGATTGTTGTGCAGATTGTAAAGCCCCCTGAGGAAAACTGTGATTGTGTGCTCTATATATCTAAATTTTAGACTGACTTGTTTGTTTAATCCATACAAAAACAAATTACATACAACATTTATAATGTTAATTATTGAGTTAGAAGTGCCAGTAATCAGATTTTGTTACCATGGCATGCTGTTTCACCTGGTCTTTATTCTGGGCCAAGCTTATTGATTGATGGCTGTAGCTTCATATACAGATATAAGATAAGCAGTGTTCAAAAGCTTACTTGTTCAGTCAAACACACTGACAGGCAGGAACCAGGTATTAGTCACAACCTGTAAAATTCCTGCCAGTGTATCAACAGCTGTAATCCTTTAAGCAAACAGGTTGATAGCCTGTCCAAGATCGCCACATTCCCACCAAACAACGGCTCATCTGCACATCTCAAAAGCCTTTATCAGACCGTTCCTCTGGTGTAACTGGCAGGGTTTAGATATAAACCCAGGATCAGGATATGGTCCCTTTATTTATCCAAGAGAAACTCACTATAATTGCCTATTTTTCTGCAACATCCTGTAACACCTTTATTAAATCATACACCACTAGTTGAAAGATCACCAGTTGTATTAAAGTGGAATTACTGGTGCTTGGCCGAGATTTAATAGAAGACACTATGGGAAAGCACAATAACACAGAGTTCAAACCAGACAACAACAACAACAAATAAAAAATAGAAATTAGAAATTAAAGTGAACTTACTGTTTACTGTGAAAAGTCTTTTTTCTGGTACCTGTGGAACGCTTGATGTTGCTACAATGTTGCACTGAGTAATGGAATGTGGTATTGTATGCTAATGACTATGTAGTACAACGTAAATCACGTGTAGCCATTCCTTTTTAATGTCAAATTGATTTTTGGGGATTTTCATTTTTTAAGGGGAGAAAAAAATGTATTTGTGTATTAGACATGTTCCTTTTTTTTTTGAGAGGGCATGTTAGTGTGCCTGGTCGATTGACAGCAGAGCCGGCAGGTTGAGCCCCAGCAGGGGAGCGGAAGGCACCCCATTTAAATATTTTCAGATAAAATCTCTCTCCTTCTCTCATAGTTTTGTCCATAGTTGTTTAAAGAGACATAAAAGAGAGCTAGAGAGAGAAATTAAAACCTTGCTTTCTCAACACCGAAGAAAAAGAAAATGTGTTAATGTTGGATAGTCACTTTCAGAAAGATACAGAAATGGTCGAACACAGCCTTTTCTAATCTAGAAAGTTGTGGGAGGACAAGGTTTAACTATTCAACCGTCTGACATTTGCAGGCATGGTTTTAAGCTATGTGACTGACTAATTTGCGACATAACTTGCAGACGGAAGTTAGCAATGCAGTTGTCCACAGTGGATGATTGTTTGGTTGCTCAAGACACAACATTTCTATGTTTATAAGTTAGATAAAAAGGAGACATTGGCGGGAAGGCTAATATGGTCTGTCTGTGACTCTTGTGTTAAATAACAGGCTGCTGTCTTTCTGTTAGTTAGTGTGACTGCCTATGATAGAACACTGACATTATGGCAAATATGGTTCAAAAATTAAACAATTTTATTGGCTGCATGAAAACAGATTGTCTATCGATGTCAATGGTTTCCTGCAATCATGAAACCAAAAAAATTTACAATGAAATGTATCTCTTTTGGGTTCTGACTTTTATTTTTTTATGTCTTTTCTCAAAGAAGAACACAGCACAAATATGTCGGTCGTAGCAAAGAAAACATGCTACTTAATGTCAGTTGGAATTTAAAAAATACTCATTAGGTTTACTGTAATTGCAGTGTAAGTGTCTTTATTCATACTGTTTAACTGGTGAAATGTTTTAACCTCTGCTCTGTTTTTCACAGAGAATATTAATATTCATTACTCCCTCCTGTTCGAATTGTCCCAGTTGTTCCAGGATTTAAACCTCCAACCCCGCACTCATACACATACAATTTCTCTAACCTTTGTGCTGCTGCTGTTTCCTGAGAAGAAAAGCTTTCTGCTGACAACTAATGTTCCGCCTTTGTCAGAAAAAATATTGCGTGCCCTTGGTGAAGGCCAGCATGGGGCTGTGCCGAGTCACAGCATGTAACCGCCTATCTTCTTCATTATACTTTAATCACACTTTCTGGAAAAGTGTAGGGGGAGGTGACATTTTTTTCACCTAGAGCAATTTAAGTAAGAGAAAAGTGCCTACTTGCTTGTCTCCTTTGTCTGTACCAGAGGACAGTGCAGATGCAGAGCAAGAGGAGCAGCAGAAGACCAGAGAGGGAGGCAGTTACTGCCAGTGGGACTGTGCAGTCATCCTCTTCCTGCACCACCTCTGCAACTGAGGAGAGAAGGTCACATCAGTGTTTTGGTAAAGAAATGCTGAAGCAGTCTTGTTACTTTGCAATTCAATTACAGATTTGCAGACATAGTGTAAAGAAAGCTGTGTTTAATTTCCTGTTCTAATTTGCAGTAGTAGGCATGAGGGTGTTTGCTGAGGGAAGCTGCCTGAGCGGATTTCAAGAAAACTACAAGTGGAACATTGTTAAGATTATAAAGCAGTGTTTGTATTTTAAGGGTATGGGCCTTAGAGAGGTTTGCAACCTCAGCTCCACTGCATGAGCTTGCTTCACAGTGGCTGTGATACAAACTCGTGCAGTGTTGATCTGGCAGCTCCTGTCTCTTCTTTTCAATAATAATGCTCAGTGATGATTCACAGGATTCCCAAAAGAGAACGGGACAGAAAAAGTGGAGAGAACTAAATGAAACACACAAAGACAGACGGATTAAAAAAGAGAGAAAGACACAGAAACGTAGAGACAGATAACTAAAGTGGGACAGAACACAGAGAGGATTAACAGTTAACTTTCTCTGTGCGTCTGGGTGCATATATGTATGCATATGTTATTTAGTGTAAAACCTGACCGTGTTTTCTCACCCACTCTCAGATGGACTGTGCTTTTCAGTGGTGTGGCGAGGGCAGACACAGAGGCCAGACAATCCACAGAAGTGCTCTTAACTGCTGTCACGCTGAGGTTGCTGGTCACAGTGAAGAGGCTCTTCCCTGACTCTTCACTACTGATGTTGTATTCACCCTGGCTCACCTCCACGCCAATCCCCAGAGAGAGAGACAATTAGTATCATTTAAATTCTGCTTACTAGTTGGGATGTTTACGACCTGACTTGATGGGAGTTTTTCCATAAATCCTCACAGAACAGAACAGTATTTAAAGGAACAGCCGAACCAAAAACAAATGTGAAACAAATTTTTCTCATTTGATTGTGTTTGTTTTTAAATGGTTTTCTAATGAAGCATTTTTGTTACTTCGTTATGAAACTGATGATGAAGAGTTTATCTCTTTGGAGAAGCTGAGCTTTTTGAAGATGACAGATCTCTTTCATCTTTGTTCAGCCTATACAACGCATTCAGTGGCAGATCAGTGTGGCTGTATCTTTACTCCGAGTGCAGTATAGTACACCAGTGCGATAAAGCCATTTGGTTTATCGTACTTAGTGCCAAACTTGAAAATACAAATAACCGCAACATGTCTTGCCAAATACATTTCTTAGACTTTGTTTTTACCAGTTGATTCCCCCTGTACATACAGAGTATGGCTGTTTTCATGAAAGTGGGTACAAAATGGGCTAGAGAAGGATGAATGTATTAGGTCTAACTGCAACAGTCAAATCAGATTCTCTCATCCTCTCTAAAAGCAGTACACTCTTCACCACGATAAACTGACAGGTCTTGTAGAGTCTTTAGGCCACAAAGTAAAAATGTCTCTGCCCCTGCAGACATGTGCTTGTAAGGGCACTTGGGAATAGAATATGTTTAAATTAAAATGTTCAAATTGTTTTAGAAATGGGCAAAAAAGATGAAACCAGAAAGGTTTTGCCTCCTGTAATGCTATGAACCAAATGCAATTGAGTGCTGTGTACTGTATTAGGGTTACAGCTGATAAAGAGGTAATAATATGTATGTTTTTGAGTGGCAGTCACGCATTGGTGGAAATTTTATGTCACAATAAGTCTGTTTTTGCAACAGTGAGTTTTGATCTTGATGAGTGTTTTCCGATATAAGATGCCTTAATAAGGCAATAAGAGAATCATTATGACAATGTATACATTTACCTTTTTGTCATACACCCGCCATTGCAAAGTAGGTTGAGGGTACCATCCGGCTGCTTGGCATTCAAACTGGACCGACTGACCCTTAAAAACCAACTTGTCGTCCCCCAAGACTTCCACACTGCCCTTTTCTGCAATAAGAAGAAAATGCTTTTTTAATTTATTTATGTGCCTGCATGCATGTATATGTAATTCTGTATAATTCTGTAGATGCACAAGGGTGCGTAAGTTTATGAATACCAACAAAACTGGGTATGAATCTATGAATTTAATCAACAGTCTACATTGAAATTCATGTAGTTGTATGCACAGTATCCGTACCCAAAGATGAGCATCACCTCTCCAGTTGGGCTGCTCACTTACAAAAGACGGATTTCATTCGTCCCGGGTGATTGATCGCGTGTCTCAAAGTCTCAATTGCCTGACGAACGCTTCTACTCTTTTCCCCTTCATCTCCTTCCCTGCCAGCCAAATAAGCCACTTAAGGCCCTGGGAGATACAGTATCTCATATGTGAAGTCTATTGTCTGGCAGAATGAAAGGCGGTGGATGCAACAGACAATTGCTATAGACAGAAAGATAATTACAGAAGCTTTGGTGCTTTGTCTAAGCGAATGACATGTCTGTGTTGATTTAGGTTCAAATCCTGAGATGTTTTGTACACTTTATTGGCTGTCCCTTTTCTCCAGGGGCTTTTATTTGATACCCGATTTTGTGTCATAAACATCGTACCATCCAATTCTAAAAGCGACCAGTTCTGATAGTGGATTCCAGTTGCTTTTAGAGAATCTCAGCACTAGCAACTAAAGGTTGGCGAGGAACCAGGAGCCTCATTTGCACTGACTGATGAAGGGCTCTCAGCGATCATGGCTGATTGATACATCTGAACAGAGAAAGAAATGACATCAGCGCTCCCTCCCAAAGCTCCAATCTAAGTGATCCCTGAAATAAGGTTTCATAAGGTTTGTTAATCACTGTGGTGGAACTCTGAAGACTTTGAACTGCTGTGGCAGGCTGTGTGAGGCGGGGAGCCCTCGGTTAACTCTAATTCCGGTGATTTTTCAGCAGGGGTCCTCAGAGGGGAAATTGCTGCTTTTAGGGCAGCATTTAAACCCTCATACGCCTCTGTGTGCAGGATTGGTGTTACATGAACAGTAACACATGTACCCTATGTGTGGGTGTGAATAAGGACGGCCCTGTGCCTCTACAGGCCAATCATTACAGGAATGTTGACTCCTCTTTGATTTATACCAAAGATTTCTCCTTTTCTGCAGCTCAAGCCGTCACTGCAGATCTTGTTCGTATTCATCAGCGCATGCAACTGTATTGATTTGCTCAAGTGCAAGGTTCATGTATGTGTGTATGTGTTGTATTTGTGTATTAGTGAGTAAGAGAAATAGGCTAAGAAGTAGCAGCGAGGGCATGCAGGAGTGTATGGTCATATTTACATCATCTCCATAGTGGACAATTAAAGCAGGGAGTGTGGATGATAGCGTACAGAGTCAACGAGCCTGCTGTAGATATGTGGCTCTATTCCAACAGTATATTTGGAGCTGCAGTACACAAATCACAGGCAGAGTTGCTGACTGTTAACTGGGCGTGCCAAGATGCACAATTAATTCAAAGGCTGTGTCAGGCCATAGTGATCCCCTGCATCGAGACCGGAGGGCCTGATTCACCATACACTACTGTTAATGGCTGCATATGTCAGTAGGGATTTGTGGCACTGGCAGCAATAGAGGCTCTCTCCATAATATATTGGAGGTGATGGGTCATTGGTTTTGTTTCCTCTCGCTTTTTTTCAGAGGGGATGTTTCCACACAGATTTTTTTTTTAGCTGAGCTCTCATTTCAGTTTGCACAGACTGTAGATGCAAATAAGCTGAATGATAAGGTCAAGAGAAGCACAAAGCCAAGCAAATCTTAAAGCATTTATGTAGTAAGCTGTCATCTAGTTTGATTTTTAGTCATCTACTCATTACGATACTGAACTAGGCAGGGTCCCTTCTTTTGATCCTTCTTTTTAATTGAGTAAAAAAATCAAATCAAATATCCTTCTCTGCTCTCACAAAAAAGTCATATTTCCCTCCCTTCAGCAAAAGGGTAAAATTGCATAACACTTTTCTGACCTCCCCTCGACTCCTAATGATTTTTGTATAGTCGCAAATTTGTGTGGAATTGTGATATGATACAGCCAAAAGTGCATAAACGTTGCTCGTTTAGACCTTTTTTTTTTGCTGGTTATTACTATCAGGGAAGTCCCGCTTGTTAAAATGCTGGTCCTCGCTGCAGTGCTCATCAGCTTGAGATAACAACACCATCAGAACTGCTGAGAACTACTGATTCTTATCAATTCCCAACTCGGTACAGTTACAATATTCTCCGGCAAATGTGCCACCCATTCCTTACACAACATACCCCCTTTGGCACAGCATCTGTATCAAACTAACAGACACTAAATGAATAGAGGAGAGGAGAGGAGAGGAGAGGAAAGTGGCTGTAAATCCTACAAGCATGACTGGCATGGAGACCAACGCTTTCCACCTGGTATTTATATCTGAGGGCCAATCAATTCTTATCCCCAACACCACCCACACTGTCATCAACACTGTCACAGAGACCATCAAACATGCCTGGGCAACTGTAGTCCACCACATGGTCCCAAAAGATTTCCCACCCATGTTATACACGTGATGGATCACTCAGGCGCTAGTTGAGCTACAGCAAACTAAAAAACATTTATTCTTGAATCCCCACTTCAAACACATTAAAACAAAGGCAATTAGTTAGGATGAGCACCTTGAATGTTGAGGCACAATACAACATTTCTTTGTCTCTGACTCTGTGTTCTTTTCTTGTGTTTTTTTGTGTAGAGGCGGCAGTGTATGAGGGGCCGTCAGGGACATTATTCAGAATTACCTCTCACAAACACATGTGAAATGCTCTTACATACANNGCAGTGTGTGGGTGGGCAGAATCAAAGCAGCTACACAACTTTTGCTTAGTCCCTTCATTTACCTCTTTTTTTAAAATGCTGCTTTCTGCTTCGTCAAGGTTAAATTCAGTGCGTTTCTGCACTCTCTCACACTGCAATAGTTGCAATTGAGGCTTGCCATCTGCTTGGTTTCTTCTGCTGCTTTGTGAGTGTGTGTGTGTGTGTGTGTGTGTGTGTGTGTGTGTGTGCACAGACTCTGTTAAGGAAATTGAGGCACTCCACTGAGGGAGGAGCCTAGCTACAACAAAAGGCGCTTTGTTTTTAAGATTTTCTGCAGGCACGAAAGTCAACAGTTTTTTGCCTGGCCTCTTGGCGCGTACCGCATGGATTTGGAATGAACGAGTAACGTGACACACACATACACACAAACATACAACTACATATAAACACACAGACCTTGTACGAACAGGCTCGCTGTTCTCCTATCAATGCCCTGGAGGTCACAGGTCACTTGTCCCTGGTTGTGCCTCTCAGTGTTCTTCAGGATAAATACCCAGCTGCGTTCCAGTGAGACTTCCTCGGCCGTCACATTAGGATTGACGGAGGGCAGGACACCACTAGTTTTGGAGATGGTGAGAACCGCTGTACCGTTCAGCAGCCACACCATAACGGTCCAATGATTGTTGGAGGTGCTGCAGGTAAACCGGGCCTCCTCTCCTCGCAGGATGGTAAGCGTTTGAGGTGACACCTTCATCCGAGCTCCAACTGCTAAAAGTCCAAAGAGACACAGACATAAAACAAGTTCTTCAACTGAGGCTAAAACAGTTTTGAAATAAATGAATACAAATCAAATCGCCAGAGCACCACTTTGACATTTTGGGAAATGCAATATAAAGTTCAGAGTTAGACGAAACAATGGACACCACTCTCATGTCATGTCATGTAATTAGTAAAATTACAAATTAATGTTAGGCCAATCAGAATTAAGAAGTCGGTTATGCAATGCACAAAACCTAAACCACCACAGTGTTACATAGTTTCACTGTTTACCATATCAGAAAATCACTCAAAACGCACAAGCAAACCTAAAGATGTACAGTTTAAGAACAGTTCTCTCGTGTGACATTAGCACATGTTTGCATATTTAGCAGTAAAAATAAAATCATTTTACTTTTTTGCAAACTCCTTCTAATATGATCTCAATCCAGATTAAATGTATGCAACAAGCACATACAACAAGGTGTCACAGATATAGGATGCACTGAAGTTAGCATTGGAAAGGTGGAGGAAAAAAAAAATTTGGTGGAGAGACCAGGAAGTAGGTGCATCACTCAGTTAGTACAGAAAACAGAAAAACTAAAGAAGTTAGTAGCATTGTTTTAGACAAATGTGAGCTAAGAGAGTTTTTTGGTCATGAAACGCTTTACAAAGGAGCCAGTGTGTCACAAATCTGCCAGAACACTCAAGACAGGGAGAGAGTAAGTAAGGAATGACAAGAAAATAAAGAAAGACAGAAAGAAAGAAAGAAACGAAGTCAGCCTTAGAGGGATTAAGAGACAAAGAAAGAGAATGACAACAACAACTCCATCAATCTGTTTCTTACTGTGGCTGTCCAGATGGAGATTGGTGATTTGGGTGGGTGCGTGAATGAGGGCAAATAGGATTTAGGGAAGAAATACTGACAGAAAAAGGAGAGTGTAAATTAATCTGTAGCTGTCAACAACAGGCCACAGCATCATTCTGCAGAGTAAACATTTTAACAGTAACCTGCAGAATTTGATAAAGCTAGAAGGATTACATGAGGACTAAAACAGAAGAAGAGACTATAAGAGGCAGCATTCATAACATTTGAACACAGTCACAGTTACTCTATAAACATCACCCAGACACATACACACAGAAGCACAGCAATGCACAGTTGAATTCCAGTGTGTCTTTGTAGCTTTCTATCACTGATAAATAAAGGAGAAAAGGAATTAATATTAATAGCAAACTGTGAAAAATGAAATAAGAGGTTTACACCACAGCACTCCTTTGGGTGATGTATAACTTGTTTGTGGTGAGCTAACTGCGTTACCTTCTGCAGCCAGCATGCTGAACCATAAATTATGCATCTGTTGAGGAAATTAGGCCTGAGAAATATCTAGGCCAGCCTATACAGCTATTTCTTTTCATTGCAATCAGAGAATGGCAGACTAATGAGCATAATTTGTGCATGCTCCCACTGGGACCATGAACCAGTGACTCGGAAGTCCCCTGACCACAAGGCTACATCTTACTGTTAACTAGATAGGTAGCCATTTTGAAGAAAATTAATTATAAAGTGCAGATAGATCATTAGTCCCTCTAATTAGATTGTCTGTGGGTTTAATGTGAAGAGTGCTGCTATTAAGCACGCCACTGCACTGACTGTGGCCGTTAATACAAGCGCATTACTGGACTGTGACACATTTCTAATCAAACAAGGGGTTTGTTTTGAGCTGAACTCTCACCTTGAATCCTGCATGAAAGCAGGAGTACAAACAGAGAAAAGAGGTCCATGTTTTATCAGTCAATCCAATTAATCCATCGTTCAATGCCGAATAGACCTGAAATTTAAAAAAAATTGAATTGACGATAATAAAAGTATTTAGCCATGCTAGCAACATTGCTTTAGGGATGCCAGTGTCTGTTAGTCCAACACTTTGGTCCAGAAAATTATATTTACTTTAGTGATCTTTACTTCATCTTCAAGTCAAACTTTAAATGTATCAAATACTTTATTATTGTAGTTAGCACTAATTAGCAAATGTTTGCATGCAAACATGAAAGATACCCGCTAAACATGAGCATGTCAGCACTGTCACTGTAAACATGTTAGCATGCTGATGTTGGCATTTAGCTGAAAGTACCATTATAATAGCCTCACAGAGCTGCTAGCAGTTAAAAAATAAAACATATATAACATATTCATATCCTACACCTTGTATAAAAGACAACAGAACCTTTGCAATCTAATCTTTTAAGTTTACCTGGTAATACAATTACCTGCTGGTAAAGTTTCTTTTTTCAAAAGAACAAAAAAAAATGAATAAAGCTTATTTAGTTACATTTAAATTCTTAAATTCATTCTTATTTTATCAGTTTTGCACTCAACTCAACCTTGTGCAGTCCTGTCATTTTAAACAACATTAAATTCAGGATTTACTGTCAATAAATATAATGTATGTAATTAAGTCTAACGCCCTGAAGAGACAAAGCGAGATACAGTAAATGTAATATAACTTGAATAAATGTTTTTATACAACATGATCATCTTTTTACTCTATATTTCAACTATGATCATTGCACTATAAAGAAACTCCATGAAGGAACTCTTTGATCATTTTACAACAGACTGCATTTTAGTCAAAGTGCAACAGTTTCAGTTAACTATAATTCAACTCAGAGTACTTATTTAGAGACACAGAGATAAAAAGTAACTTGCAGGACTACACCTGTCTTTCAACCATTTCTTTCACACACTGCTGCAAGCAGCATCTTTGGAATAAATAAAGTCCAAGTTAAGTGAACAATAAAAATCCTCTAGCACTGTGTTTGCCTGACTCACCTCAGTCTGGTGTCTCTGGATCAGCGGCAAGTGTCCCACACAGTGGATACATGTCAGTAATGCTGCTTCTTCCTCATGCTTGGTCCTCAACCGTGTCACCCAAAACTGTCCCGTTAAATATTACCAAACTCAGTGGGGACTTTGCCCCGTGCTACAATCAGATGTAAATATACAGAGTGACTCAGACTACAGACAAAGCCCCTTGTAATTCCCCAGTTCCCAGAGGCTTTAAAAGTAGACTTCCACCCTATTCAAAAGAATGGTTTTGGGCACACTTGTGTGATAAATATGGCAGATATATAGTATGATGTATGCTTTGATAATTTTTAGCCATACAAGAAGTGTGGCCCTGGATGTTAATGTTAGTCTGTACACTGTTAAACAGGTTTAAACTGCGATCTGTCAGTCCATAGTATGTTCAGCTGATATTCAATAGTGCTAACCTTAGACCAACCTTCTGCTTCTATTTTGAAGCTTTAAGAATAGCTTTGCTGAAGCAGCACACATGTTAATTCCAGTTTGTTAAAGGCATTACTGTAATCAGGAACCTGTTCCCATTTAAAATTTGATGCTAAGCTTCTGGTGTCTTCTACAAATGACTGGTGGTTTCTTATGTTCATGTTTAACTGTTGCTCGGAGGGATTTTTGTGTCTTTCTGCCCTTTCAGTCTGGTTGAACCCTTGTAAGGATTTTGTTCAAAAACAAACCATAAAAAATAACATATTTTTGTAAAGAGTACTTTCTTCAACTGTAGCTACTCTCCTGATGTGAGCTCACCAAAGTAGATTCATATCAGCTATGTTGGAATAAAGTATTGAACCTTGAATGTGAATAAATGTTTTTTTGGAAAAGGGGAACACAGATTTGGTCAAGGCCAGTAAATGTGCATCTAACACCTTATTTCTTTTGTTACTTAACTCCCAATTTTACCAAAGACTAAATGGTCATGTTTGCAATACAATGTAAGTGTTGTTAAGTGCTTACAGTAAATGCCATAACTAATGATTATGGTCTATGTTGCCCTTAACCTTTTACCAGGATCTCTTGGGACAGGGTATTTGTTTAATTTTCCTGTTTGTCCCTGCACTGCTCTGACTGCACAATGGTCCACTGATCTATAAATATGCCAACAAAAGAGTTTTAAAATAAAACAAAATGGAAACACTGAGGATTATTTTTACCAGTTTACTTTATTGCATTTTCCATTGCATCAAAGTCTTAGTCACATGTTTCACTCTTCATTCAACAAAGTGCATTGATTAGACAGCAGTATTGGCAGGAGTAATTGTAGTGGTAGAGTAGTTCGCAATCTTGCAGTATGTGCGTATTTCCTTTCTCATGTGGCTATTAGAAATCTTAGTTTGCACTTATACATTCAGTTAATAGAAGGAGTCATAAAGCCAGAACGCTGATAAAACTACAGTGATAAAAGAGTGAGTTATGAACCTTTGAATCTGATGTAGAGGCCACAAGCGAAGGTTTTTCAAGGTAATATTTTTTGAAAAGGTCAGTGGCTCTTTGTGTTAGGAAACTAGAATTTCTAAAAGTAAAACATGAGAAATATGTTTGAGTTTAACAATATAACTGTTTTGCATTTTACAAAAGCTACTCATTAAAAACAAACAGACACCACTAGGCTACTCTGCACATTTTCATTACAGTATGTCTCTAATCGCAAAATATAAAAATTAAGTCAACATTGCAGTCAAAAGGGAAAGGGGTTGACTCTTCAGTTTGGGTGGCGCCTTCAAGCACATGAACAAAGTTTCCAGTGGGGTCCAGTGCAGCCTTGGGGAGGGGTGAAGGGGCTGTCTGACGGGGTAGAGGGGGTCAAGCATCAGGGGTCAGGGAGATACAGAACAGGAGGCTCCTTCAGGCTGAAACACAAGGCAAACAGATGAAAAAAAAGAAATAAACTAAACAAAAAAACAAGGTCACACAATCCCCCAGTTGTCTGCAGTGGCTGAGGCAGCCACCACCGTTACGCCTGTGCCACCCAGCGTGCCCACTCCTCCGGAGGCACATCTGAAGCTCACTTAGCAGCTTCCTCTAACAAGGCGTGACAGGGGCTCGCAGGGGTTGGGAGATAGCTAAGAGAGGAGGGAGACAAGCATTGCCATTCCTTCAAAGTCTGCTCTGTGGCTCTTTCTGCAGTGGGTCACATAGCTGCCCGACATGCAGAGGAGGACTAAAAGACAGGCTTTGAAGATTAAGATTATTATTATCATCATCATCATCATCATCATCATCATCATCGCCACTGCCTCGGAGAAAGAAAAAAAATAAATAAATAAGGGAATGAGGGGTGTTTTTGTTATGGCTCCAGATGATCCCCAGGCACTCTGTGTGCTCGCTGAAGCTGTCTGCAGATGGAGACAGCCGTGGCAGTCCCTTATAAATGGGCTGCTGCATTATTTTGTTTCCTCTGACTAAACACCTCAAAGTGCATGTCAATGGAACACGAAAGACAGCACCAAGGTGAAGCAAGGACAGTGCCACCGTACGTATGTGAGATTTATGAATCTCATATGTAAAGGCAAGAAAATTACATTGCAGTTAATACTATAACGCTGCTTCATAGACGCAGTACTCTCTGTAGATAAAGCAGTGAGGTTGAGCAATTGCCTGTTATTATTCAGTAGCCTTTGATTTGATAGCAGGGTCACAAAAGCAAAATGCTGTTCTGAATACATGTTTATCTTTTTTAATACTCTGATTACATAAATGCCAAATATAAAAGCTAAGGGGGACCTATTCATGTAATGTTTACAAATTCACAATGTTTTACTGCCCTCCAGTGGTGAAGCAAAAGCACTGAAACAAAGCAATGGAGAACTGTTTTACCTGGATAGCAGTGAGTCAACATCATTGACGTCGCCTGGCTTTAACTACTCAGCCTCTTCCTCCTGTTAAAAGAAATGATAATGTATTATTAAAAAAATACTTACAAGGAATGCAATGAATGACGAAAGAGGTAGAAGAAAATTCAGTGCGTTTTCAGTATGTTATTATAGCATATTTTAAATATTTTAGATGGTTTGTGTAAAAATATAATAATTCAGTTATTGGACAAGAGGGGTATTTAAGCTTATTAGATTTAAGGGGAAAAAATGACAGTTAGATCGGCTTAGTTTGTTGCGTAAATAAAAACAAGGGTGATTCCTCCGACAGATGGTATAAAAAAATCCAAGAGACACTCCACCAAGACTCCTGACTCCAATAAAATTAGTGTTCACTAAATCTGAATTATCAAGGTGTTTTATTAGTGTGTATTTGTTCCCCCACACTGATCAGTCCTCTTAATAAGAGTGAGACAAGATTCTCTGCAGGCATGTCAAGCACAGGCAGCAGCTCAGAGGTGACAACATGAATTTCAGTCGTTCCTGTAATACTACCTGTGTTTCTTCCACGTCTTCCTCTTCTTCCTTTGACACGTTAAAAAAGAAAGAGAAAGAAGGGTGTTGTGTCAGGCCACAGTCCATACGGCAGGAGGGTGAGAGGACTTCACATGTTAGTGGGTGTGGTGAGGGCGGGTTAAAAATGGAAAAGAAGCAACCCGCGAGAAGTGACAGCAGGGACGAGAGGAGCTAGGAGACTAATGACCGACAGATTTCTGTTTATCCTGAGGTGACCTAAGTGAGACAAGACCGGTGCTTAAGACGGTGCACCACAACATAAGACGTTTTAAATTCTGAAACTACAAGTCATTATCAGGTTTTGTATAAGTGTAATCACTCAAGCTGCAGAGCCTGAGAACTGTTTGATGACTCCCCTCTTGAAGTAAACAACGCACTCACCAAAGGGACAAAGGGAGTTGACATCATTATCTATAATTAGATGTAATAACCACCTGATTCCATTCTGTCGTACAGCTTAAGATAGTAAGTAGCAAACCCTATCACACAAGCAGAGCTACACCACCTGGGATCAAATTAGGCAGCAGTTCATAATCCAGTGGGTCATCTGATGTAACACATATATTTGTATGGGTTTTTTTTTTTTCTCCTCCTAGCGTTGCACAATAACCAGAAGTGCTCCATCTCATCCGTCCTCTTCGGAACTTGTCACATCCACTTAGTTTCAGAGTGCTCTTGGTAAAAAGAAAAACCACGACTTCTTAAAAAAAAAAAGAAGAAGAAGAAAAAGACATGTCCACCTGTCAAGTCAGTGTGTCCCCTCTCCGTGCAAAACATAACCAAACTGAAAACATGTCCAAGTTATGCTCATGTGCACACAGCTCAACAACACAAAACAACTTTCCACCTGTTCTTAAGGCATCAGAACAAAAAAAGTAAAAACGACCTGGCAGACTGAATTAAAACGCAGACTGCAACACTGAACGAACAAATGTAACATGAGGTGCCATCTTGCAGGAAGTGCTCAACAGAAAAACTCAGAGCTGAGTCACATTCCCACATTGTGCATAACACACGACTGCCAACTGGGAGAGACAGTAGAAACGTTAGCATAAACCTGTACATACATTCTTTGTATGCAATCTGAACATGCATAAAAATCCCAATGTTTCACACCATGCAAAACATAGACAAAAACTCTACAATCCAAATATACCTCTTGTACTTCAGCCTCTTCTTCATCCTATAGAAGGTGAAATCATGTGGTGTTAAGTATGTGAATGTCAAAAAGAAGACTCTTATTCTGTATACGTGGTCCGTATATGGACTGTTACCACACTAAATCCACCTACGGTTTAAGTCAAAAATTGTCATTTTTATCATGCTTCACACCATCAGGCATCAACATGGAAAAGAAGTCCATGCAGCACACACACAGAGAGAGAGGGAGAAACAGAAACAGACAGAGACAGAGACAGAGACAGAGACAGAGAGAGAGAGATAGA